TTGATGCGATATTTGGGGATGCTTGCCGTGTATTGGACATCACACAAGCGCCATCACTCAGACACCACGAAAGCTGAACAAGGCTGACGTCGACACTCACAAGGGCGGCACCGAAGCCGTACCGTACGATCGCGCGACTGTTTCCAATAGCGACGTCGTGTGCTGGCAAGTCGTCTTCCCTTTCTCCTTGCCATTTGCGTCTCACTGCATCACTCTTCTCGACGTTCAAGGCATCGACAGCAAAAACTTCGGACAGCGGCAGTGGTATCGAAAGCGCCCGTCTAACATGGTGTCGCACTGGGCCACGCTCCTGAGCTCAGCAGCCCTAGTCCTGTGGGCCTACCGGTACATAGCGACGAACCATAAACGTCTGCCACCTGGGCCCCGCCCGCTACCCATCATTGGCAATGCGTTGGATTTTCCGCGGAAGCATCTGGGGAGAGAGTTTCGGGAGCTGTCACAGAAGCATGGTACGCTCGGTGCCCCTATCAAGCGCAAACCACGCATCCAACTGACCGTCTGTGCCAGGCGACGTTGTGTACTTGAAGGTGCTAGGGCAGAACATCATCCTGCTCGGTTCCTACGAGGCCGCTTCCGAGCTTCTCCTGAAGAGATCGGCCAACTACTCCGACCGCCCCTCTTCGGTCATGGTCGATCTGTGAGGCCATCTCGTGCGGCCACCAGAGCGGTGCTGACGTAGCTTCCAGGACAAACCTTGACTGGATATTCGTGTTCAAGAACTACGGCACCGAATGGCGCCGATATCGCCGCGCTTTCCACGACCAGTTCCTGCCCAAGATGCTCACGCAGTACGAGCCGGTGCTTCTGCGGGTCAACCACAACCTCATGCGCAATCTTCTCGAAACGCCTGAGAAGTTCTCGTACCACATCAAGTTGTACGTGCCAGCCGCCGCACCGGCGTGTCGCCGAGGAACACTCAGGTTCACGCTCCTCACCTCCGCGTTTTCAGCTCGTTCGCCGCCAGCATTTTGCGCATCGTGTACGGCGTGGACCTGACCCAAGGTGACACCGAGCACTACCGACTGGTACAGAAGCTCGCGACGATCGCAGAAGACATCAGCACCCCAGGTCGGCACGTCGTCGAGGCGTTCCCGATCATGCAACGACTACCGTCTTGGTTTCCGGGCACAGGGTTCAGGCAGCTCGCCGTAGAATGGAAGCAGCAGATCAGAGCCATCAGAGACAAGTTGTACGACGCGGCAAAGGAAACAATGGTGTGGTACCGGTGATGTTCGTTCCTCCGTTAGACCAGTCTTAACCTCCCATGGCAGGAGAGTCGTGGCATCCAGGATTCTGCTCTCACACGGTTAATGAATGCCGGGGAAGACGAGGAGCTGGTCAGGAACCTGGCTGCGACGATCTACGCCGGTAAGCCGCTTCATGACGCTATGTTCGAATCAGAGCTAACTCGGACTGTTGATTCATAGCTGGGGCGGATACGGTAAGTGTGTTGCTAGCTTCAGGGCGTCAGGATCAGGACATGGCCTTCAGACGAACTCCTCTGTGCACGCATTTATCCTCGCCATGGCGTTATACCCGGAGGTTCAGAAGAAAGCCCAAGCAGAGTTAGATGCTGTAGTCGGGACAAGACGTCTGCCAACCTTTTCTGATCGCGACTCGCTCCCCTATATTAGCGCACTGACAAAGGAAGTTATCCGCTGGCATGCCGTTGCTCCCATAGGCGTCCCGCATCGGTCCAAAGATGACGATGTGTACGATGACTATTACATCCCCGGCGGCTCCATAGTCATGGTCAACCAATGGTACGCTTCTTCTGGAACTCCTCATCGTACAGCGCTGATGATATTGGGAATCAGGGCTATATCTAGAGACGAGGCTATGTACCCGGATCCTGAACGCTTTGATCCCGAACGTTTCTTGGATAATGGTCAACTGAACCCGGATATCCGCGATCCTGCAACGTACGCGTTTGGCTTCGGGCGCAGGTAGGTGTAGATCACAGGCAGCGATCTAAGTGGTTGACATCGCTTGTCCAGGGTGTGCCCCGGGAAGAGTTTTGCGGAGGCATCGCTGTTTATTATGTGTTCCTTGCTCCTTCACTGTTTCAATATCAGCCCGCCAGTAAACGAGAAGGGAGTTCCGAAGAAGTTGAATGTGTTCATGGGAAACAATCTTGCGGTCTCGTGAGTGCTCATACCTCGGTGTGTCTGGCACCCCACTGAACCCCAGTCTAGACATCCGGATCCTTTCGATTGTCGCTTCGTAGTACGCGATACACAGAGAGCACAGCTTATTCGTGCGGTGGCACCATGAACAGTTTGACGCTGTCATACCGTGGCAGCTGTGGTGGATTGGTTTACGTTCATAGACATTTACGACCTTGACGACCATCGACGTCGGTATTCTGACCATTCTTGTCGGAATATTGCGCTTGAACGTTGGTCCCCGTGGGACTCTGAGCTTTTGCGCGGATGCGGCCAGGATGCGGATGCATCGGACTGCAGTTGCCCAACGTCGACCGGCGAGAACTGGGGCCGCCGCTTGTCTTGACTAAGTTATAATATGAGTCCAGCAAGTAGTTGTGAAGCCCGCCTCAACTGGGATTCGAGAGTAGGACACTATTACGTCCCGACCAAGTCTTACGCCGGTTGTCGGGGTGAGTGCCATGTCGCTGGTACCATGCATCTTCCTTAAGCTCTATTGACGTCGACCGTGCGCTGGTGTTAGGTAGTAATGAGCGGAGCTTGTCGGAGAAAGTCCGGAATATCCGGCCCGGGCGGTGAGTTGAATCTCCGACCAGCTCCGTCACGACTATCTATCCTCAGCCACACCGACGTGATTTGCCTCTAGTGCCAACGGCGCAACGTCCGCCATGTTCCCCACTCTCCGTCGCCTCTACGCGACGCTCCCTGAGGCTGCTGCTGCTGCCCGGACGGCGTCTACTCCCCGAGCGGTCCGTCTTCGACGCACCCGGAAAGGCCTCGACGTGGAACCCCTCGGATCCGACGCGACACCAGACGGTTTCTCGCCCTCTGAATTTGCGCGGTACCAGCGCGCGCTGGCCAAGGGCGAGCTGCTACAGAAAGACGGCACGCAACTGACGGAGGCGCAATGGCTGGAGAAGCTGAACGCACGGCGGAACAGGGTACGCGGCGTGCGCGAAGTCACGGTGGCGAAGGACCCGGAGACGGAGACGGTGGAGACGGAGTCGGTGGTCGTCGGCCAGAAGGTCTTCCTTCCCAACATTATCTTCAAGCTCGTTCGCAATCACACGCCAGCAGGCCAGCCGTACAACCCGTATGAGGCCACGTTCCGCGTCCCCCAGTCGGTGACCAAGTCCGACATACGCTCCTACCTACTCGCCGTGTACGGCGTCCAGACGACGTACATCCGCACCGACAACTACCAGTCGCCCCTCCGCAAACGCTTTGGCAGACCCGTGACGACCATTACGGACAGGACGTACAAGCGCGCGGTGGTCGGTCTCGTCGAGCCGTTTTACTACCCGCTCGCCGAGGAGGACATGTCGACGAAGGAGCGGGCCGATCGGAGGAAATGGCGGGCGGAGCGGCTGTTGGTGGGCAAACGGGAGACCGACATGCAGTCGTACTTCCTGCGTATGACGCGGTCGCTGAATGGGAAGGGCTGGAAGTGGCGGACGGGCACGACCGCGTCCCGAGGAAACATATTACGCATCATCGCCGAGCGCCGCGCGGAGAGGGAGCAGGCAGTTGCGGATGTCAAGGCCCGCATCAGGGAGGGCCGAGAAAAGGTCGTGGAGGCCGAGACATAGAGGCGTCCTCCGGCCCTTGATCGTACGTGGCATGCTCTCATGTTCTACTTATAGTCCCGCTGACAGTCTCACCGCTAGTTTACTGTATATTGTGCTAATGGGCATTGGGAGTGATATGCAAACGCATGCTATCCTGCTCTTCGAATATCATCACAGCCCAGAGCGTCGGAGCTCGGGAGAGCTCCCCTGCAGGAGGTGTCGAATGGACAGGGTCTCCCACCAACCCGAAGTCTGTGTTGTCGCTCATCTTTTCTGGACTTAACTGGTCAGGCACCCACTACTTGCACGGGGTTTCCAGACAACGTCATCAGGACCCGGTGCAAGGTTGGACGGCGTGGATATATGAGGTTGCACGCGGATGAACGACGAGCGTTGGATTTGAGACATGTCCCTGGCAAAGTTCCGATGTTCCACGTTGGTTCCTTTTGATGAAGACGACGTGCATGGAGACGGAGACACAGACATTGTCTGTGAGCCCTCGTTCTGCTCCAAGTTTCGTGATCCGGAGAATAAGGGCGGCGGTCGCATGAAAATACTCAAGTTTACGACACCACTGGGTCATCCAAACACCCCTCGGCTTCACATGCTGGACAACAACACCGCGTGTGCTGTACAATGTATCGAGTGTTGTGAGTCTGAGACATTCAGCAACTCGTACAATCGAAAATCGAAAACGTACGACGTCCAAGGATGGAGTCGAGCTACCGGTTCAGTGCCGGAATTGAGATCGTAGACAACAATCGCTGCTCCGCCTTGTTTTCGGGCTGCAAGCTGACTGTAAGGATGGTGTGTTACGACCATGATTCAGCATATTCTCAAGGCTCGGTTGCGCGTTGTCACTCATAGACATGATGCAGCCTGGGAGCACTCACCTCTGTGGCTAGTAGACGCACATCGCCGCCGAAATGTGTCCGGCATAGGATGTGGCATGAAGCCGAAATGGAGCTTTTATACCGCCTGTACTTATCTGTATGTCGTGTAGATGAGGGGAGAATCAGAACTTCAAATGGTCTACTTGCGACTGGAAGTCCTTCCAGCCAGCAGAAGGGCCATACGGGCTCTGGAACAGCACATGAACTGGATCGGTGCTGATGCGCGAGCCGATGGCGCATACCAGGAGTAAGCACGTTCAACTTCGTCCACTGAGGCAAGGCTTTGGCTACTAATGACTTGGTTCTCGACTAAGCCAACTGTCTATTGGCACATGATAAATTCTCTTCACACGTCTCTGTTAGTATATCGGTTAGTACACGCGCCTGTCACTCGCGTTGAGTGCGCGCGAAAGCGGGGTTCGACTCCCCGACAGAGAGATTTTTGTGCCTGCACAAGGACACACGATCTCCGCACAAACAAGGCCTTCGAGAGTTCTGAGTTAGATAGTGATCTTTGGGAAGAGGGGAACAGCAATCTCTAACAGCTGTAGCGGAATCATAATCACCCCACCGTTACGCGTACCCCAATTGGATACAAGGCATGATGGACCGGATCCGCAAGGGGAACTCGTATCTCGGACTCTGCGAGCTTGCGATTGTCTGTTGCGTTTGGTTGGTACTCAACATATCGACAGACCATGAGCTATGCGGCGAAGAGATATTGCAGCCACGAGACTTGTGCCAATGGTCTAGGTTGCAGACGAGTCGCAGTTGCGACCAGTGGTGGCGGAATTTGCAAGAACCTCACTGGCACCAATGATTACCATGACTGTGTGTCTTGCACGTCTATTGTGTGGTAAATGAGGGTGTACGAAGATCGGGGATCCTGGGCGACGGTGGTCGCCGCAACTTTCTGAAATCGGGCGCATAGTAGTTACTAACATCAGGATTCAGCACCGATCCGTGTCACCCGCATCGCCAGTGACAGAAATAGAAAAAGGCGCATACGACCCGGATTCTGTCCTTCTCGTCCGTCCCATCCGTAGCGCGGTTGGCTGCAGGCCCTCGGGAGCTGCCGTGGAAACGGCTTCACGCGGAGATAGGCGCGGCTTCCGAAGCCCACGAAGGCACTGACAGCGCTGCAAGATTAGCGCAGGATGGGGGTAGGTAGCCACGCCCGAACTGCCAGGCCCCGACTCGTCTCGGTCCACGTTGACATGCGTTAGTAGCAAGGCAGACCACATAGACATGGCCGAGAATATTCTTGGGCGGGAAGAACGTGGTGATAGACATGTCTGTGTCACTTGTTCCTTGTTCTCTCGGCGTTGCTGAACATCGCCGGGTGAAGGGACGAGACATGTGAGAGCCGGTGCCAAAGGAAACGGAGGTGTGGTGGGGAAGAAGATGCGCCGAGGACTGTGGAAGCCTGTGACCGTGACGAGACATGTTTGCGGCAGTGTTTGAGGAGGACCATCGAACCAGCACCACAGAGGCGGCGTCTGGATGTAACGACCTGGTGAGCGCATGACATGATCGGGTAGTGCGTGTATGACCACCCTGATGCATGCGTAGTCGTGAATACCCGCACCATCTCCAATGTAGAACAAGGCTGGGATCCTTACACTGTCGGAGCTGCGGCCTGTTGAGCAGCGGAGCGGTACGCTCTGAAGTTCCTATGATGGATCATCGGTATCGCAGCACCCTGCCTAAACTACCATGAGTGTGTTTCTAGGTCAGTCAATAGTGAATTCCGCCGACAAGTATCGGGAACATACCGACATGATATGGCTATCAATCTATACCCCGGAATGAGGTTAAGTATGACTTGGCGTGGTCACCACTGATAGATCTAGATCGGTGCCAGAGAGGTGAACCCCATTGATCAAGAAGGATATTCGGACCATTCGGGGTCAGTACTGACAGCCATTGATTCGGGACCCATGTACTGGTGCGTCCAGGCACCCTCGGGGGGTGATAGACCAGAAGCAGGACAGCTCGAGTGTACGGCCGAGCATCCCAGAGCCACGGCCTGGTCGGATATTGCGAATTGCTGAGAGCTTGCTATTACCTCGGGGAATAACTTACTTACCATAGATCAACTGAGCCAATAACCGGACAGTATCCACCGCTGCGATCGCGACCACATTGTATACGCAGCGCGAGTGGGCGGCGCGACAGTCGACCTGTACGAGCCGAGGGCCGCGTAAGTGGACAGCATGAAACAACCTGCGGCCACACACGGATGCTGTTAGCTCGGGGTTGTGCTGGGGGCAAAGGCCTCCCACCTAAGCACACCTACATTGATCCATCTGAGACGCCGAGTGGTGGTGATCGTACACTTTCGGCGAGGATTCCTTAAGCGCTTGCGAACATGTATTACGTCCCAGTGGCAAATACCTCGGCCCCCATGGAGCGTGCTTCAGCCACGCCTTCGAATTGAGGGATGCTTCCGGACACGGAGACTGCGAGACCAGTTGGATAGTGCCAGCTCTGGCCGGGCCGCGTGTTCATGGGCGTCAGTTTATGCCGACCGGGACGTATGGGGGGTTAACTTGCTTTCCGAGGTGCTACGGACAGATGGGACGGTTGATGTAGCACGTAAATCCGGTTCTAAAGTGACAGCTTACATGTTGAGTCGCTGACGGGCGGGAGGCGTGTCCGACTGGTCGATATACAGGGGCTTGTCTTGCGTGCGTCGGCGCTCGTTCGACGGTCCCATGGTGGGGATGCTGGCGGTGGAGGGAAGGCGTAAGAAGTTGATGACACGAGGGTGGTCCAAAGTTAGTGCCTGGTTCTGAGTAGCCGGCGGGAAAACCCTGAACTTGATCCGCTGGTGAGGAGCCTGGCAGCAGCACGTCACAACGGATGACGCCGAGTCATAACGCAGACCGCTCTGGAGAAACATGGCCAGTAAGTATCGCCTGAGAGTGACACTGTTTGAATGCAAATTTCAGTAGAGGCTGCTTCACTCATGGACGCCTCGGCAGTAGAGTGCCATCTGAGATGACAAGATACTTACGCCCTCAGCATCTTGTAGGCTTACATGTATGACTGGCTCCCTCGTGTTTCGGTGGTCCGGATATGGAAACTCCGGCAGCAGCCTGTTGGTGAGTCTATTGCGAGGTAGCGATGGAAGCTATGAGGATGTCGCACACCCGGTTAGCAAGGCGGAGTCCTGTACTACGCACAGCTCGATGTACGCAGATGAAGCACGTGCAACGCGATGATTCCGCTCTGTTACATACCGGGGGCTCTACGCCTGGAGATCGCACACGCCCACCCGGGGAGATCTCGATCATGGATTGCTGCCCTATGCAACTATCAATGGATTCGGTAACAGCTGCATAGGGCAGGGGCGGGTATGATGAGAGCACGGTGTTGAACGAGTCAGAGTTGGCTCGGACGGAATGTTACGCCAAGGCATGACGAATCTCTAACCCGCCAAAGTTGAAAACCTGAGTTACGTGTTGAAAACATACCGAGACGCGCCACATTGGTTTCGAGAATCAGTACGCGCATTCTTTGGAGCTCCGCACCAAGCACGACATTACTAGTAGCTGGGGCTGTTCTCGCCCAGGTGTGAAGGCTGCTCAGTCGGCAATGTCAGCTTGAAACTCCTGGTCAGTTGTCCTTGTACTCGCACAGGATGCTGACCAGATGCTGACGAAGAGACGAGAGCAGGTGGCAAGATGACGGCCTGAGCAGGAACGTGGTCCGATATGACAGATCGGATCGCGGTCGGTCGGGCGTCCTCCGGAGATGCGCCACGAGGCAGGCGTCTGTGGCCTTGCTGTCCTCTTTCACCGCACCAGCTTCCGGCCTCTTTTCCTCCTCCATGACCTCAGGCGTGAGCGGCTGGTGGTTGACTCACACCACGGCTTTTGCGGAACATACTCTGACACGCTGCGTGGGACTTGCGCGAAGATGGTATGTCTTGTCTTCTTCGATCGTGTCAGCTGCGCAAGCCGGATTGCAGACAGTGCCTCCAGGCCCGCAGAACCACACCGTGGCCTTTTCGTCCGTACCATCATTGTAGTCGATGAAAGCATGCCTTTGAATAGAAGGGTTGCATCCCCTCGACTGCGGCCTGGAAGCTCTGAAGGATGCATCACACCGTTCTAGCTAATAGGCTGAGCGTGCGGAAGCATGGACCTTGACCTCGGTACATATCCTATGCACTTTGTCCGCATCGTCAGCCGCTGATGGTCGCGTGGGCAAGCAGGCAGCCTCTGTTCTACTGCGCCATCGTTGAATCTTCTCCCGTGAGCAGCGCCCAATCTTGACTCGTGGGTACGGTCCCTCGAGCAGAACGCCATTGGCCCTCATCGCCACTGATGTGTGCGAGCTTTCGATCTGTGATCGGTTTATCCCATCGCTGTTTGTGGCCGCAGCCAGCTGTGACAGCCAATACCACTATAGCGGGTTACCTTGTTCCATATCGCGCAAGTGAGTCTCGACCTGATAGAGCGCTCTGCACAGTCCGACCATGACGAATATGTAGCTGCGTGCACCTGTGACGAGCCACGCGAACGACTCAAGTGCAGCCATGCCCTGATCCGTTCCCGCGCTCTCTCAGCTCTATGCCTATCTGCGGTTTCCACCTGGAATGAAGCAGGAACTCTGTCATATGTGATGTGATCACGAAGGCAGCGAGCCGTAGTAGTGGACGGAGATGTTATCGCGCAAAGTCGGGCTTGTCGACGCCTGTCACATGTGGCCAATGACTGATGTCCATCTCCAGCCGTCTCACCGAACCCAAGCCGGCGCATCCCAGCTGCCTTGTACTCATAATTAACTCCACAGGGTCGCAGAATGCAGCATGTCGTCATCAAGCCTCCTCTGTCCAGGCACGCAGGCGCTTTAGGGGGAGTCCGGTCTTTCTTCATGGACGCCGCGGGCATTCCGTCGCCGTCGGTCCAGAGCGTCTATTCCAATCCACCGCCATGGATCTCAATCGCAACGTGCCAACGCTCATCATCAGAATGCAACCGGGCAGAACGATGCGCCAGACTCACCATAAGTCGCGCATACGGCTAAATTGTGACGCCCGCGAGGAACAACGCCTTCCCAACGCATTCGCATGCTCTCAAGTCTTCCTAGGTCCCACTCGGTCCCACCTTCTCGGTTTTCCACCATCTAGAAGAGTCGCCAACCTTACACATCTACGGCAAGATCGCCGCATCCCGGTCTCTGCGGTTAAGCCACCTTCGTGGCTAGCGGCGTAGTTTGCCAACAAGCTTGCGCACATCAACCTCATCGGTGCTCGTCGAGATACCACATATTGTGTTCCCCCTGATAGGCACTACGCACAGCCGTACTTCTCCTTCTTCTATAAAGCCCACGACCTTCTGACCGGAGTCGTCAACCAACTTCTCTTCTCCTCAGCTCAACGTCGAACACAAACACCAATCATCTGATCAATCAGCTATGCAGCCTCC